ACTTTTTATTTCACTGATTATGGATCATCCATAATTTCATTGTCTAATATCACACAAAAATGCATATATATATATATATATATATTGTTATTTATCAAACAATGGCGTAATTTGTATTTGTACACTTCCTATATGCATGCATATATTTATATTTATTATTTTTTAATATCTTTTCATATTTTATTAAATTTAGTTCTCCTACATCATATTCATAATCTTTAATTTCAATATTTCATTTTATTCTTTCACATATATATTTACTTTTTAATTTGAATATTGATTTTTGATATATTTCATGTTTTCATATTATTGATAATATCCAATATTTTTCTTGAGAATTTTCTATGACAAATGGTTCTCCTCTTAAGTTCTGTATACTTGTTTCTGTCATCATAAGGCTCAATTCTTCATCTTCATCGCTATAATTTTCATCTTCTATTTTTATCTCTTCTTCAATTAATTCTATTACTCCTTTATTATTTTCTAGAGTCAATTCTAATACTTCTTCTTCTTCTTCTACATAATTCAAACTTCCTAAAGCTTCTATCATTTTATTATTATTTTTATTTCTACATTGATTTACAAAGTGACCTATTTCTCCACGTGCCCAACATTTACAAGCATTTTTTTTTTCTTTTTGGACAATAATTATTTTTTCTAAAAAATCTTCTTCTTTTGTTGAAATTGTAAGGCTTTTTATAATATTTTCTTTTATATTTTTCTCCTCTTTGTTTGTTAAAACTTTTTCATTTTATAAAATATTTTCTTTTTCTTATTATATATTTTTCTTCTTGAAGATTCACAACCCTGTGCATTGGATGTTTGCCAGCAATGTAATATTATTTTTTTCATTTTTCTTCTTTATTTCATTTTCATGCATTCTTATTCTACCCATTCTCTTAGATATCTAATTCTATGACCCAAGGTATTGCTTATGGCGTCTCCTAATTCTTTTAATCATTTTTCTTATTTTTCTTCTATATTAACGTTTATAGGATATGGTAATTTATGAAAAAATATAGTTAAATGAATTTTATTTCTACCTATTTAATAGTAGTAATTGGAATATTCACATGTATAATTTTCTATATATTCCATATTACATATTTCTATATTACTTAGTTTTTTGACACATTCTCTTTTTCTTTTATCCTCATCTCAACATTTTCCTACGAATTCATTTTCAATATATTTTACAAATAAATTTAACATATTTTCTGGGATAGTCTCTGCCGTTAATTTTTCTTTGTCATGTTCTCTTAAGTTGTCGTACCAACTTACTATTATACCTGCGAAGTTATGTTCAATATAATTTATAAAACTTTGGGTGCTCCAGCTATTGTTGTGGATATTTAAGACATGATGCATCCCTCTTTTTCATTGTTTTATTACCTTACTTGTATTTGTAGCAAAATCAATATTTAATAAGTATCCTATATTACTTATTGGTTTTAGTGGTATTTCTTTTAAAAATACTTCATTTCTAGGGGTAAAGTTTGCATAATTAGACGTTTCCTTAGTGAATGATTCTTTATTTAGAAAACTGTAGTTTCCCGTTCTTCTTCTATAGTCATAATTTCTAGTATCATCTTTCAATTGTTATCTGGTGAAATTCCTAAAATCTGGATGATTTGGATTAGGTAGGGCGAAAGAACTACTTCCTTATGTTTTTACTATTGTCATTTCAGTATCATTAACATTATTTGTTTCTTCGAAATCTTCTAAAACATTATTTTTTCTTTTTCTTTTTCAGCTTCACTATTTTCCATTATTTGTTTCAAGTCTTCAAAGGAAATGTATTCCATTTCTTCCAGACTAATTAACCCTAATTGTTTTTATATATATATATACATATATCTTCTTCTAGTTCTATTCTATTATTATTTATTTCTCCTATTATTTCTTCATCCGCTCTATCTAATTGTTCAACTATTTCTAATATTATTTTATATTTTATTTCACTATCGTTTTCTTTTTTAGCCATTTCTTCTTGCTGTTTTAGATTGTATTTACTTAACTCCATTATTTTTTTCATTTTTAGGTGAAACTAATTCGAATGGTTTTTCTGGATTATATCTCTTATACGGATAAGGATATAGATATTAGTTTTTTTGTTTTTTTTCAAAAATAGCTACTTATTTTTCTGGATCTAGTAGCAAATGTCTAACTTCGTTTATTGTTTCTAATTGATTATTTCTAAGATTTTCACTAATTTCTTTTAATAGCCTAATTAAGGTATTATTTTGTTCTATTATTATTTGTAAAGAAGTATTATTATTTAAGTTATCATATTCTACTTTTCACTATATTTAATACTCATGCAAATGTTATTGACAAGGCCAAGAAATCGGGATCTGATACCAATTTCAATTGTGGATTTTCAGATTTAAGTTAATAGTAATTCTTGCAAAAACTTTCGTTGGTAATCTACACTTCTATTTTTCAAGGATATTTTATTTTTAGTGCTAACAATTTTCTAGCTATAATTTATTATAAATTATCCGGACGCAATAGTAACTGAGAATTTAGTCAATTTAGCTCATTTTCTAATTCAAAAATATAATCTAAAATATTTTTTATTTTAGCTCTAAGTGTTGTAATTAAACACATATAATTTTTCTTAATATTTTTTTTTGTAATTTTTTAATTTTATAGGGGTTTATTTATAATTATCGAAACTTAAGGTTGATAGGGTTTGGTGATGTGGAGTGAGGTGTGTTCTACCTAGGATTTGGGGGATTTGGTCCTCGTGAAATTCGGTGGGTGAGGATTTATTGAACTAATGTCTTCACACGACAACATTCTAGAAGGGAGCACATGTTATGCACGTTCTATTTTTTATTTTATTTTATTTTTTAGGATGAATTACATTGACACCTCCTGAAATTTATATTTATTACAGTTTATTCCCTCACCTTTTAGAAATTACATATTTTTTCCTGAGATTTAAAGTTTCATTACAAATTGCTCCCTCCAGCAATTTAATTTTTTTAAATACCAATTTTGCCCTCACTGGGTAAATTACATTGACACCCCTCATATTTTAAAAATTACAATCCCCTCCCCAATGTTTGAATACCAATTGCCCCTTTGATTAGTATTAGTTGGAAAAAAAAATTTGAAAAAAAAATTTGTTAGTCAAATTTTTAAATTTCTGTTTAAAAACCAGCGTAAGATAAAAATTACACTGAAATTCCTTGAGGTTTATATTTATTACATTCGAAAAATAAAAATTATATAAAAATGATAATTATTTTTTATTTTTTATTTCTTAACCAAATTATTTTTAAATTTTTAAATTTTTTTTTAAAATCAAACCATACATAGCATAAGAATCTTTTGATAAGTCATTTCTTATGTTGGTAACTTATTTAATTATTTGTTAATTTTACGACATTTTTACCATCTGAGGCCTGTTTGATAACTATTTCATTTTCAGTTTTAATTTATATTTACAAAAATTTTAAAAACTATCATAAAAACTTATTTGATAATTTTTTTGGTTTATAAATGGTTGTCTCAGTTTCTAAATTTGAGAAAAAAAACGTAAATTCAAAAAATGAGTTTACGTTGGTTTTTAAACAAAAATTAAAAAATTTGACTAACAAATTTTTTTTTTCAATTAATTTTTTTCCAATTAATTTTTTTTTTCCAACTAATACTAACTGATGGGGCAATTAGTAATGCTACTTTAAACCTTGAGGAGGGGATTGTAATTTCTAAAATGTGAAAGGTGTCAATGTAATTTGCCCAGTGAGGGCAAAATTGGTATTTAAAAAAATTAAATTGTTGGAGGGAGCAATCTGTAATGAAACTTTAAACCTTAGGGAGGAGGATGTAATTTCCAAAAGGTGAGGAGGGAAACTGTAATAAATATAAACCTTCAAGGGGTGTCAATGTAATTTACCTTATTTTTATTACAAGAACAAGGGGGTAGCTAGGCTACGTCAGCGGGAGCTTCTATCTACACACACCAAATACCCTCTTTGCACACACTTAATGATATTTAATTTTATTGCAATTGTATCCCTAAGTGAAATTACTATTTTAGACACCATTGTTAATTCAAAACATCTCAATGCACACCTCCCTCTAGAGTTCACATTTGTTGCATCGTGTTTGTAGCTTCATTGAGCTAGAAGTGAAAGCAGAGTCATTCATAGCTTCTTCCAAGTTCATTGAGCTAGAAGTGAAACCAAAGGGCTTTGACATTTCCGTATTGCACATGCACTACAGCTTTTCAATGCACTCATTCATCAACCTTCGTCATTCGTAGGGAAAACATGATTGTTATGGAGGATTTGCCTTCTGAAAATCAGCAAATAAGTGTTCATGTGAAACAAAGCGAAGGAAATGTGAGTTTTTTTTTTTTTCCCAGCGTCGTTCGGATAACCAAGGCCGAATTGTGTTATTTGGTTCGGAAATCTACTACCGAAATAATTATTTATTTTCGGAAGTTGTTGTCCGAACAAAGTAATAAATTTCGGAAGTTGTTGTCTGAACAAGGTATTTAAATTCGGAAGTTGTTGTCCGAACAAAGTTAACTTTTACAACATTCCGAAATTTGAAAATAAATTCGAACAACTACTTCAGAATGAAGTAAATTTTTTTTTTCCCCATTTTATATTCCAAATTTGCAAACTGCATACCAAATTTACAATTTCAAATTGCAAATTAATCTTTATAATGCCATTAAAAATTTGTAATGTTATACAAAACATGCAGGAATATGTGTCAACTCAAAGAAGTCAGGTTTGCGCGGATTTTGTGTTAGATTACACCACTCAATTCACAACTGAACAGGTTAACTCTACGAAATTATAACGATTATGTTTTGAATTACTCACCAAATGTAAATGTTTGATAATATTTATTTAACTTTGTAGGTATTCAAAAGTAAGGATGAATTGCTCAACTGGGTACGTGAAGTTGGAAAGAGAAATGGTTTGGTCATTGTAATCAAAACATCAGACTATGGTGGAGGGAAAAAAAGACCCAGGATGTATCTTGCTTGTGAGAGGAGTGACCAATATAGAGCAACAAAGAAGTTAAAACATGCTGGCAACAATACATCAAGAATAACCGGTACGAAGAAGTGTGGTTGTCCTTTTGATATGAGGGCTCACAGGTTTACCACACATGATAAATGGACATTGACCGTAGTATGCGGATTGCATAATCATCCACCTGCGGAGCACCTCGAGGGACATTCATATGCGAGGAGGCTATCAAAGGATGAGAAAATATTATTAATGGATATGTCAAAGAGCATGGTTCGGCCAAAAGAAATCCTAGTAACCTTGAAACAGCGAGATGCCCTCAATGTAAGCACACTTAAAACCATTTACAATGTACGCCATCGAAACAGGGTGGTACAGAGAGCTGGAAGATCACAGATGCAACACTTATTGGGTGAATTGACCAAGTATAATTACATTGAGCGCCATCGGTCTGAAGAGTCCACGATGGCTGTAACAGACTTGTTTTGGGCACATCCTACCAGTTTGGACTTATTTCGGTCTTTCCCACGTATATTAATTATGGATTGCACATATAAAACCAACAGATATCAGCTTCCTCTTCTTGAAATTGTGGGAGTGACATCAACTGAAATGACATTCTCTGTAGCTTTCACATACTTACAGTATGAGAGGGTCGATAACTATGCGTGGGTGTTAGCTACACTGCGTGATGTCATGGATGGGTTTGTTGTGCCAACAGTTATTGTTACTGACAGAGAGCTAGCCTTGATGAATGCCATACTGAAGATATTCCCAAGTGCCAGACATTTATTATGTCGTTGGCATATCAGTAAGAATGTGTTGACCAAATGTAAGAAAATATTTGAGACACAACAGAAATGAGAAAAGTTCAACCATGAGTGGAACTCTGTAGTGTATTCATCTTCTGAAATTCAATACGATGAGCGTCTTAAATCATTACTTAAGGAATTCAGTAGTTATCCTGATGCAGTCAAATACGTCATGGATACTTGGTTAGTTCCTTACAAGGACAAATTTGTGACGGCATGGACAAACACGTGTATGCATTGTGGCAATGTTACAACGAACCGATAAAATTACTTTTCTTCAATATGTTATTAATAAGTGCCATGCACTTGATTTTAACTTGACTTACATTGAATTGAACAGGGCTGAGAGTGCACATGCAAAACTTAAAAGACAATTGGGTTCATGTCAAGTCTCATTTCAGGCATCATTTGAGAAAATACACAGTCTGCTTGAGTTGCAACACACTGATATCAAGGATTCATTTGAGAAAAGTCTATCTGTTGTGCAACATCAATTTAAACCTTCTCAATTCAGGGAGTTACGGGGTAATGTGTCTATCTCTGCATTGAAGTATTTGCTTGTAGAGAGTAAGAGAGCCAATTCTATTGGTATTAATGTTGAAGCTTGTGGATGCGTCCTTCACCACACTCATGGTTTACCTTGCCCCCATGAGATTGCTGACTACATCAGATAAGATCGTCCTATACCACTTGCGACCATACACTCACAGTGGAGGCAACTTCATATCTCCATATGCAAGAAAGAAGAGGAAACGGAGGTGACTTGTCATGCAGAAGTAGAGTTGTTTGTAAACAAGTTTAATGAAAGTGACAGAACTATGCGGTTGGAGCTTTTGAAGTAGTTGAAAGAGATTATATATCCGGGAAGCACTTTTCTTGTTGAGCCGGAGGTGAAGCCCAAAACACGTCCTCGGGATCATAAGAAGATCAATGTTTCTACCCGTCGTGACCCGTGTGCATTTGAGTTAGTGCAATCTGGACATGATTCCTTCTCACCTAGGGACACTCAAATCACTACATTAGCTTCTACTCTGCAAACCAAGAAGAAGTGACTTGTTAAGGGAAAGGAGAAGGTGAATCCGAAAGGGAAGGCATACATTACTAGAACAGTGAAACCTGGTGCATATGTTGATGCTCTCCCTGCTGGGTTGAAACCATACATTAAGTTTGTGAAGGATGTAGCTACAGATGGGAATTGTGGTTTTAGGGCTATAGCTGCTTCAATTGGTCATACAGAAAATGATTGGGCTCAGGTTAGGCGTGATCTATTGGGTGAGCTGCACACGCACAAAGAGGAATACATTACACTTTATGGGTCCTATGAAAGGTTTGAAGAATTGACAAGCATATTGTCATACTTTGAAGACAGTCCTGGATACTCAATTGGATGACTATGCCAGACATGGGGCATCTTGTTGCATTGTGCTACAATCTTGTGTTATACCACTTGTCTTTACAGCAATGTCTCACCTTTTTACCTCTTAGAACAGTGCCAGTACCTCAACTTGATAAACGTGAGATTGCCATTGGGTTTGTCAACGGAAATCATTTCGTCCAGGTATAACAGAAACTTATCAATTGGGTTTGTGCATGTACAAGAAGTTATGAGGTATGACCACTAAGTCAATTGATATTTGGTGCAGGTTTTGTTGCATCCAGGCCATCCAGTTCCTCCTATTGCCACTAATTGGAGAAAATACCGTCACCCTTGCACTGTCGACTGGGATGATGCATATGTGCGTCGCATTCAACATTTCAAGGACATTATTCATGATAATGTAGCTACTCGAGAGACTTTTGATGTTGTTGATGTCGCATGACACATATATGCATTTGACAATGTTAGAAATATGGAAGAAATTAATGGATGTGTTTTTGATGTTGATGTGTTATGTTTTGCAATGTGGATTGAATGTTGTCGACCATTGTTACCATTCCATCAGAATAAGAAAATATCATTTACAAAATCAACGACCATTGTTACCATTCCATTCTAATAATAAAATGTCATTACAATGTCATTACAATGCCATGGTTGCCATTCCATTGTAATAAGAAAATATTAACCATTGTTACCATTACAACAATGTCATCTTACAAAAAATACCAAAAAAAATTCATCAACTAACAAAATAACATGTAACAAAATAACATGTCACGAATCAGCTGTATGCCTACGCCTAGGCCTACGACTGTATGTCAATGTCGAAGATGGAAAGCGACCTCCATCAGAACTAGGTCCAGCTTCGTCAATGTGCTGACCTTCAAGGACACCCGTCATACTCTCGATAGCCTGGTAAAGTCGATAAGGATGTCGAATCCCCTCCTAACAACCAGCGTCAATAATAGGATGTGAAATCTGCAGTGCATGTGCAATACGCTGCATTTGAAAAGAATATCACATTATATCAAAAAAAAAAGTAAGTTACATATGTATGCATAAGAGAGGATAATAGATTACATCCGTCTGTTCGCTGAAATCCTGATGGTCATGGACACGCGGTTCATCAGTGTGCTCGACATATAGGTGCGTGATATTCTTATACCAATCCATGTAACTCGGTACACATTGCCAAGGCTGACGAACTGGTGTGCTCCTCCGTTGCTCAGATAACACGTGGTTATCCCAAGCCTCCCAGATCCTATCCAAGTATCTGTACATGACTGTATATCGTACAGATATGTTGCCTCGCGCACCACGACTGGGAGCTAGCGGTGCATTTGGGATGGTTTGAACCATGCCAAACTGCCTCAAAACTTTATCTGGATGATAGAGTTCGACAACGTCTAAGCACTTTAAGCATCCATGGTAGAACGTAACCGGGTTACATGGATGCCGGTCTCTGCAGCTGTAGTATGGATCCCAAATAACCTGTAAACGTAAAGTGTTTTTGAATTAAAGTACATAAAGGGTAAGATAAATGGAAGTGTTAAAATTATTGTAGGATGAGTAAACTTGCATCAGTAGCTACCAAACTGTTAAGCTCGGTTCGAAAAGATTTCAAATGCTCAATGGAGGAACTCGCCTCTCTCCTAGATGCCCAATGGTACACGTGTGGCATGTCTTCATTGTAGCCCATGTTCTGATAAGGTCGGAATGCTCGGAAGTGCTCATAAATCCACGCCTCCAAAAGAGTCATATAACCATCCATCTGCTTAACCCCAAACCGGCTAGCATACCCCAACTGTCTGTATAAAAATGCTAATGCAGCAGCACCCTAGGCGTAAGTATGTATGGATTCCAAATCCATCAATAAGCCAAGGTAAACAACGGGAACCCTGCCGCCACTCTTGTCACTGAAGAGTGTACATCCCAACAGAAACAACAAATAAGCTCTAGCAGCGCACTGTCTAGCCTCCTCGGGGTCTGAATCTGTGACACCAGCAAACTGACTTTGCAACCATTCAAGCCTGACTGAATTGCCACCAGCAGAAGAAACCTCTTCATGTGCTGCACGTTCAGTAATCCCCAAGCCATAAACGAGTAATGTAACTCCATGATGATCTGTCACATTTGGTATGCTGACTGATTTGCCAACAATGGGAAGGCTAAGAATAGTGCCAACATCATCCAGGGTCAAGGTCATCTCACCAACTGTCATGTGAAATGTGTTCGTCGCAGGTTGCCATCTCTCAACAAAACTGGAGATTAGAAGCTTGTTGACGAACCGATAAGTGCAACGAGCTAACTGTGACAGTCCAGACTGCTCAATAATGGCTTTGAATCTGGTGTTGTTCTTTACTAACCACTATGGCCATGCAAGGATCTTGGAAGAGTGATTATGACACTTTAGGGGCCCTCGTTCCTACAACACAAATGATATGTCATTACAAACTCCCATATAACAAACAAAAAAAAAAAAAAAAAAAAAACTCATATACAAATGAATTTCACTTTTACTGAAGAATGTTTACCTCCCCGTGCCAAATAGCTACAGCCACATGACTATTGAAACTCCGCAATATTGATAGATCAGTCGGTCCACCTGGAAAAGCATGAGTAATGTACTCTTCCTGGACAGGAGGAGAATCAGGTAAGGAGGTATCCTTCACAGCAATATCAGGCATATCATAACCTTTAACTCGTCTTTGGCTTCGGCTCCGACTTTGACTGGCACTGGGAATATCATATTCTACCGAAACTGGATCACGACCTCGACCTCGACCACGACCACGACCACGACCTTGACCTCGTCCTCGCCTACGCCCTCGTCCCTGTTCATGGTCTACATCCAATTCACGACGTCGTCTATTTGAAGCAGTAGATGGGACACGTTGTTGATATTCAGAATCCATATTATCTGCAAAAAATAATAAGTGTGTATAATGAGTGTGTGTGTAAATAAAGAGAGTGTGTGTAAAATTAATGAGAGTGTGTGTAAAATTATAATAAGTGTGTGTAAATTATAATAAGTGTTTTAAATTATAATAAATGTTTTAATTAAGTGTTATAATTAAGTGTTTTAATTAAGAAGGGGAGAAAAAAAAAAAACCTGTTCGGAAGTTCACAACCGAAAATACATATTCTGTTCGGAAGTTGAAATCCGAAACAAAAACATAATTTCAGAGGTTGAGTATTGTCCAAATTTAATTTTTTCGAAAGTTGACTATCGAAACAATGTAACATTTTCGAAAATCTACTAATGAAATTATTGATTATTTTCGGATTCCTACGTCCGAACACATTGTTATATTTCGGTTAACCAGTTCCGAACGACGGTTCCAAATCAAAAACTCTACATCCCAAGTGAAAAACTCTACATTACAGATGAAAATGAGGATTGAATAGGAATGATGATTCAAAAGTAAACTCACCTAATGAGGATTGAAAATCTGATGGAATGCTTCAATGGGATGTAGCTTCGTGGATGAAATGCTTCAATGTACTTGCACACCTGGGTTGCACACGGTAATGAGATGGAATGCTTCAATGTATTTGCACACGATTGAAGATGTGCTTCAGTTTGAATAGGTGCTTCAGCTTGTATGTGATGGAATGCTTCAAGGTTGAAGATGTGCTTCAGATTCAATAGGTGTGTGTATTTGGGGTCGGGTGTGTGTATGCGCGCGCGCGTGTGTGTGTGTGTGTGTATGAGGGTACATTTGGAACTCACCGTGTGTGTACTGAGGAAACTAATTAAGAATTATTTTTTTTCATGTGTGTAGTGAGAAGGATGTACAAAGAGGGGATTAGGTGTGTGTATATAGAAGCCCCCTGCGTCAGCCCCCAATCCCGGGCTAAGACCACGCTTTAGACGAAGTGCAAAGGCGTTGTCTGAAGGGCTACAGAGTGTTAAACCCGAGTCAAAACAGTTTTTGGACCAACACTTTACCGCTGAACCAACTCCCATTGGCAAGCACGTCTATTTTGTGCATTGAGATCTTTGTTTTTAAAAAATTAGGAAAATTACAAAAATAAATAAATAATACTTATTCAAAATAAATTTATAATTTTGTCAATTTAAATTTAGATTTTTTTTAATTTATTTTTAATTTAAACTATCTTGTCTATTTCCATTAAATAAAATTGATGAAAAAATAAAATTTTAAACTGACAGAAGTGAAATTGATCCAAAATATAAGTGACTTAGGAGTGAAATCAATATTATTTAAGAAATAAAAGTTGAATTGATTTTGAGTGATAATTTAGGGGTAAAATGAAATTATACCTCAATATTTTAATTCATATAACATTTAAATATTTTTTTCATCAATAATTTGTTAAGCTGTATAAATGAAAAACAATATTATCATCTATTTTTAACTAACATATATATATTTATCTTTATTCATCCACCATCTACATTAATTTCCATGTAAATATGTTAAAAGTGTACCCACTAACTATGTTTCCCTAAAACTCAACCGAGGTAAGTGTAATTACTCAAAAAAGTAATATAAAGAAAAAAAGAGAAAAAAAAAATGGAAAAAAGAAGTAAACTTTTGATAGATCGCATTTAGCATTTGGTATTTTTAAACTGTTATTCCTATATTGCATAACAGAGCTTTTGATCATTCGTTCAAAAAACAAAAACAAAAAAAACAAAAAACTGAGCTTTTGATCATATACCCAGGTTATGTGCTCTTCCCATATGCTAAAATCTAATTAAAATGCCTTTGTTAAGGTTGTGTTACAACTCCTAAGGGCCACCATGCCCTTCAAATCCAAACCACATTTCCTGAATTGTGAATTAGTTGCATATGACAATTTACAAACAAAGAGACCATGACATGTCTCAAAGCGACAATGTTGGGCTTGAGACAGATAGCCCAGCCAGTTCCTTCATAAAAGCGACAACATCACCTGATGAGTGAAGAAGATAGCGAGCATTGGTACGAGTCCGGCCCACAGAGCAAGAGAAGTAATTCTCTCCCTTGAGGTCGAGCACGTTCCACGACATCTTTTCTGGAGATGGTCGACGTCCACTCCCACATACATGGTTGTTGGTTTTCTTGTCTGAGTTTGGCAGGGGTCGTTGAGTTTTATTCTGAGATGATGATTTAGAGCCACTTTTGCTAGCTGGAAGCTTCAAAGGTGGCCTTCTCTCCCCAGATAGCTTTAGTGTATCAGTTATCTTGGTTCTTGGAATGCCTATCGTGTCGGAGGGAAGCTCTGGCTCAAAAAATGTGTAGACATCCTCATCCTGAAGCAAAGATAAAAATTGTAAGGACAAACGATTTAACATTATAATCAACTATCTTAGAACACAACCAATCCTTCAGATGCAGTTTATTGAGTTGCTTCTTGCTACTCTTAGCAATGCCCGGTTTTTTAGTAGGATAGAGATCTTTTGCTGTACAAGGATTGTGCACCCCCTTGGTGTTTTTTTGAATATAATTATAATTATCATAAAAAAATAAAAAATATAAATTGAGGAAGAAAATGAGGTCCACCTCCACTTTTCATTTTTCTTAGAAAGTAAAAACTAACTCTATATTTCAAACTCCAATTCTGTTACTGTAAAGCTTTACCCTAAGAAGCATGGGCACTTCTAAAAAAGTGGCGTATCGGTGTCGTGTCCGTGTTGGACACTTTCCCGACACTTGTTCGACGTTCATCCAAAAGTGTCCTATTTTTTTTAAATAGAATTTAGACTCTAACACTATTTGAAGACTTGGAAAACACACATGTTCATTACTTAAACACACGTATCCATTACACACGAAACTAATTATAAGTTTGAACGAAATAACTTAGAATATAATGATAAAAGAAAAACAATGTCAATTTTTAGAAATTAGTGTTATGTTATATTTTTTTTTATTATCTTAGATTTATTCATATAAATGACACATAATAAATATATTAAAATTATATATTATGTGCATATCCCCCACGTGTTATGTCATGTATTTTTTAAAAATTGTCATGTTGGCGTGTCCGTGTTATATTTGTGTCGTATCACGTGTTCGTAATTCTTAGTCTTTACCTAAGTCCAACAATATAGAATTGGATAAACAAACAAGTTTCCCATCTGGTTCATTTATGCTTTGTTTGGATCATGGGTTTGGATAGCAATTTAGAAAATGAAAGTGAAATGAAGAAAAAAATTTAGCTTATATTTCATTCACATTTCAATCACATGTTCCTTTTCCCTTTCCAAATTCTTTCCAAATCTATAATCCAAACACAACATTAGAGACATGAGAAACAAAATGCAAATGGAGAGACCTGAACCAAAGATTCTCCTAAATTGAACTCCGAAATCATGTTAGATCACTACTGGTCCCAAAAACTTAAGCTGTTAGGAATAGTGCCCATCAATGCATATCACAAGCTCTTCAACATCTTCAACCTAGGAACACATGGAGCTGCGACGCGCCCCCCCCCCGCACCAAAGAAAAAAAAAAAAACACTTTGGAACACTATTTGTTTCCTTTTTTCAATGTTGATTGGAGTTCTTAATCAGGAGTTCTTAATCAGCACATATCTGAGTGAGGATGTTGGGCTTGCCAGACAGCATGAGAAATAGAGAAGATGGGGTTACTTCTGGATTATGCAATAGCATCATAGAAACAAAGGGAGGCGATGCAGAGCATAAAAGGGAGATATCTGAAATTCCGTATGGGGCATTATTATGAACATTGTATAATTAATTTGTTTTAATTTCAACTAGTATGCTGCTGGATTATATTTATGCCTCAGTAAGTTTTGGGAGTCAAGGGTAGTTTGGTAGTTTCAAACTTCACTAGACATGGTAGAATGGATCTTATTAGATGCCAAGTTATATTCTTTGCCATCATTTGTAATCTTCACTAGGTCAAGGATGTTCTAGTTGATCTTTATTTTTATTGTTTTTGTAGCTTCCTGTTCTCGAGTTAGTGGAATAGAGAAAAGTAACCATCCAAAACATTTAGTCTATGTTTCGATTGGTAGATTTCAGATGAAAATTTGAAATCCCAGGCCCATATCTATAGTCCTTGTTTAGAGTAAATTTTAAGTTAATCATTTCTTTTCTTATCAACTCCCGTATTCTTCTTGGTCGTCTTCTATATTTCTTTCACCACTCCCTATGAAACAGACATAGACAAGGGATGCAGACACGTCAACAAAAAAAATTCTAAAAAAGTAGGACACAGACAAGGCACAGACACAAAATTAAATGTTGATATAATATTATCTAAGAATAAATTATATTATATAGTTATATATGTGCATAATATATACAAAATTAAATAATTACTTTATACAAAGTAAATCTTGTATCTAATTCTCTTACATGAATTTTTGGACTATTGAATTGGACCACAGTAGTTAAAAATTAGACAAACTATAGAAAATATATATAATTGTAACATTTCCCTCATCCTCCTAAGCCATATATTACACATTTTTTTAAACGAATTATACATTACGTTATTCTTAAGAATTATACATTGTTTTTAAGAATATAAAATATTTATGTCAATTTCTCAAACTTTGAAAATCATACATTAGCAAATGTCAGCATTGGTCTCATGTTTATATTTTTAATGATAAGACATGGATAAGAAGTGACGGACATGTAAAATGAGTGTCGGACACATGTCTGAAATTAATAATTTTAATTTTAATGAGGGACACAAAAAAGAGTATCGAACACGTGTTTGAGGAGTGTCGGTGTCTGACACGGACATGTCGCCTCTTAGAAGTGTCCGTACTTCTTAGACCACTCCCTATTTGGATCAAATCACTCCTTATAGGTGCATTCATTGATCCATGATTCACATGTCTATACTCTATACCATCACAAACGGTGTAGAAATTTAATGTATAAAGAGAAATAGAGAATTGTATTATTGATTGATTTATATTGATATCTATTACAATGATTCATGATTCCTATATATAGAAGAGGGTGAGTGTGTAGTAGGTAAGGAGTAGGTGAAGTGGAGGTGGTAGTGGTGTAGTGGGTTAGGTTTAGTGGAGTAGGTGAGGTGGTAGTGTTGTAGTGGGTTAGGTTTAGTGGAGTAGGTTTAAGTGGGTGAAGTAGGTGATAGGTTTTAACAGCCCCCCGCAAACTCAAGGGGGATAGGAACTAGCCAACTTGAGTTTGGAGAGAGTAATAAAACAAGAAAATACATAAAAATAAAAGAGGATAGGTGACACTGTATGGTCGTGTCAGACCATTGGTGAAGACACTGGATGGTGGTGTCATAACGTTGTAGAAGACACTGTATGGGGGTGTCAGAACGTTGTAGAGGACACTGCATGGTGGTGTCATAACGGTGTAGAGGACACTGGATGACGGTGTCAGACCGATGTAAAAGACAGTTTATGGGGTCATGTCGGACCGTTGTAGCAGATAATGCTGTGACAGTTGTTATGACAGTTTACGGAGTCTTGCTGGACCCTTGTAGGAGCTAACCGGAATCAATGTCGGGACAGTTTACAGAGTCTTGTCGGACCCTTGAAGGAGCTAACCGGAATCAATGTTGCCCAATCTGTCAAAATCTTGTCGGACCCATGAAAGAGCTAACCGGAATCAATGTCGGGACAGTTTACAGAGTCTTGTCGGACCCATGAAAGAGCTAACCGGAATCAATGTCGGGACAGTTTACAGAGTCTTGTCGGACCCATGAAAGAGCTAACCGGAATCAATGTCGGGACAGTTTACAGAGTCTTGTCGGACCCATGAAAGAGCTAACCGGAATCAATGTCGGGACAGTTTACAGAGTCTTGTCGGACCCATGAAAGAGCTAACCGGAATCAATGTCGGGACAGTTTACAGAGTCTTGTCGGACCCATGAAAGAGCTAACCGGAATCAATGTCGGGACAGTTTACAGAGTCTTGTCGGACCCATGAAAGAGCTAACCGGAATCAATGTCGGGACAGTTTACAGAGTCTTGTCGGACCCATGAAAGAGCTAACCGGAATCAATGTCGGGACAGTTTACAGAGTCTTGTCGGACCCATGAAAGAGCTAACCGGAATCAATGTCGGGACAGTTTACAGAGTCTTGTCGGACCCATGAAAGAGCTAACCGGAATCAATGTCGGGACAGTTTACAGAGTCTTGTCGGACCCATGAAAGAGCTAACCGGAATCAATGTCGGGACAGTTTACAGAGTCTTGTCGGACCCATGAAAGAGCTAACCGGAATCAATGTCGGGACAGTTTACAGAGTCTTGTCGGACCCATGAAAGAGCTAACCGGAATCAATGTCGGGACAGTTTACAGAGTCTTGTCGGACCCATGAAAGAGCTAACCGGAATCAATGTCGGGACAGTTTACAGAGTCTTGTCGGACCCATGAAAGAGCTAACCGGAATCAATGTCGGGACAGTTTACAGAGTCTTGTCGGACCCATGAAAGAGCTAACCGGAATCAATGTCGGGACAGTTTACAGAGTCTTGTCGGACCCATGAAGGAGCTAACCTAAAAGATGGTTTGGGGTGCAAAGCTATATGGTATGAATGGAATTTGAAAAAGATTAAAAAATAATGTGAAAGAAAAATAAAGAAAGAAATAATAAAAATATATTTGAAATCAAAATGAAAGATGGGGGAAATAAGGAAAGTGGTTTGGAGAAAATAAATAAAAATAATGGATTTTGAAATCAAACGGAGGAGGGAGAGGGGACAAGCCCATGTGAGAGAAAGTGGGGAAAAATGATAGCCGATGCACCCAAAAATAATTTCATAATTAGAAACAGGCGCTTGGGGGAAGGAAATGGTAGCAAGAGACGGCCAACACCATATATGGCTATAGCAAAGGAATGGAGTATCAAGCTCAATGGGCTAGGATTTAGACCAGAGAGTAAAGCCACTGGTCCTGTTGAACATACACCTCCAAGGCTCAAATAATCAAAACATGCTTCACGCATTTCCTTCCTTGCTTGATCAGGAGATGCACAAAACACCTTATATAGGGCTCCAGTCATTCCTCCACCAGTTAAAGGATGACGCATGTTGAAAGCATCACCTATTAATAGTGCTCCAGGAGTAGGGTAAGGAGCAGCTGGCATACTTCTATTGGGCATTGTTCTAATACTTCCCTTATCAATTGCAGCTATAAATGAATCATGCAGCTCAGGTGGAACCTGGGGAGCCACCAGAGGGAAGCAAAGCCGAAGGCTGCTGCAAAGCCGAAGGCTGCTGCAAAGCCGAAGGCTGCTGCAAAGCCGAAGGCTGTAAAAGCGAAAAAGGAAAAGAAGGCTCCGGCTAAGACAAAAGCTGCTGCGCCAAAAGCTAAAGCCGCTGTGAAGCCCAAGCCAGCGGCAAAGTCCAAGCCAGCTGCGAAGCCAAAAGTTGCTGTGAAACCGAAGGCTGCCGTGAAGCTGAAAGCTGCAGTGAAGCTCAAGGCTGTGGCGAAGCCCAAACCAAAGCTGAAGGCGAAGGATCCTAGCAAGAGGCAAATGAGCATGGAGGAGAAGCATAGATTGAGTGTTGGGTTGCAGAGTTTGCCCCAGGAAAAGATGCCACAGTTACTGCAGATTATGAAGAAGAGGAATTCATATTGGCCTCAAGAGAGAGGATTTAGGCAGTGATGGGAAGGTATGTGTAGAAAATAAGCAGAATAGGTTGAGGTCCGGCGGGCGGCCAAGGCGAGGTTGCCGCCCACCGGTGAAACGAAAAATACTAAGTGCTTAACCTTGCTCTGATACCATGTAGAAAATTAATGTATAAAGAGAAATAGAGAATTGTATTATTGATTGATATATATTAATTTCTATTACAATGATTCATGATTCCTATATATAGAAGAGGGTGAGTGTGTAGTAGGTAAGGAGTAGGTGAAGTGGAGGTGGTAGTGGTGTAGTGGGTTAGGTTTAGTGGAGTAGGTGAGGTGGTAGTGGTGTAGTGGGTTAGGTTTAGTGGAGTAGGTTTAAGTGGGTGAAGTAGGTGATAGGTTTTAACAAACGGCTTATCTTTAATTTGCACCACTTCTAACTTCTTCCTAATGGATTTAGTTTTTAATTTTATCTTCTGAGGACTACACTAATTATCCCACTAAACATTCACCTATAAAGAGATCTGCCTCGTAATCACCAGCAATGTTTAGAAGAGATGAAGTGGCAAATATCCATCGACGTTTTGAAGTCAAAGAAACAAAAACAGGAATAACTAGGCAAATGATAAGTGTCTCGTATAACTTTTATCATCACTTCATTAATCATGCCCTTTCTATTAAAATTTTGTTTCTGGAATAGCATGACTAAAAAACTCATGACAGTAAAATCCTAGAGTTGAACAAGAGAAATGCGTAAGGTTTAGAGAGAAGAAAAGTTATACCTTCCCTAGAAAATGCCCGATGCATAGGACATAATCAATTGGTGTAGAAATGGATTTACTGTGAACTATCTCTCCCAATATACGATCGATTGCAGCTCCCTGCAAAAAGCAGAATCCGTGATATAAGTAAACAAATACCTCAACTGCCAATAGACTACATAAATTCATACGATTTAAACATTTCTAGTATAAATTGAAATCCATTCACCTTTGTAACACCAACTGCTCGGACCTCAACAGAACGGCTACCTTGGACAACATCAACAGAAGCATTAGAAATTGGGCCTGTCCAGAGATGCTGCAGCATATCCCTGGCTTGCAGTTTTCCAAATTCAGGATCTACAAGTACAATAAGATGACATCAAAATGAGAAAGAGAATTAGAACTACTAATGCTTAAAAATTATTATTGGAAGCTAAGAAGCACAAACACGGATACACGACACAACATAGACACGCCAACACGAAAATTTCAAAAATGTAGAACACTATGTGGGAAATACGGGCAAAATATATAATTATATTTATTTATTATGTCATATATAAGAATAAATATTTATTTTATGTCATCTATATGAATATTTAAGTCAAATATAATAATTTTTTTTTAAAGAAAAAATAACTTCTTTTAAAGTTTAAAGGAGGAGAATAGGAATAAATTTATATTGTTTTTATTTTATCATTGGATTCTAAGTTATTTTATTCAAACTTGTAATGTGTTTTATGTGTGTCAAGTCATGTGAGTGTCCGACACAGTGTTGGACATGACACATTGCCTTATTATAATTGTCGGTGCTTCTTAGATTGGAAAAGGAAACTGAATAAAACAAAATTGAATTACCTGCATACTTGTAATTCCATACAAGTGAAGTTTCACGGGGTTCAAAATGTGACCGAGGTGTTCTTTCAGTAAAATACTCAAAAACATGCTGAAAAAGTGTGGAAAGCATTAGAAATGTGGAAGCTGGAAAAATATACAAATGGAAAGAGAAACAACAGCACGTACCTTAACACTATCAACCCATTCCATATTTAAATGCTCTGGCATTGTTGTCATCCATTCACCCTTTGTAAAGCGAAGAAACATTCCGTTTTCTGCTGCCAGCCACATGTTGTACTCACCAAAGTTCTGTGAAAGGATTCACTTCAGGATTGAAAAGTTCAAGGCAATTCCACTATTTGTTGAGTAAAGTGGAGTTAGATGAAATACTTCATCTAAGACTCGTCTTCCACTTGCACTGAGGACAACAATGGTCGTCTTTGGATCACTACAGAGTGCTGTTAGGTATTCTTTTAGCTCCGGATGTAATTTAAGTTCCATTTCTCTAATTTGATCCCCCCCTCTTCTTCCTGGAGTATCCACTGTTTCAGTTAACGTTGCATTGAATCCCTGTAGACCGGCTCAGATGACAAAAACAAAATAATTAGAAACCAATGTCAAGTAAGATAACTGAAAGAATGCAAGTGCCGATAACCCTTCAAGCTTTAAGACACCACATCACTCTAAAGCCACTGAATGGATAAGAAGTGACAAACCTCAAATAGCACAAAGTAGCAATATTTGACAACTTGCCTTACAAAAAGAAATTATTGAATTAAAGTTATATAAACAAACAACCAGCGGTGAATGGTTTAATTTAATATGTGCCAGAAAGTAGCCATGATCAATGTCAATACACCTAAATGCCACGCAGACATTTATTCACTATCTAGATGATGTTCTTACTTGCAGCCCTTAATCAACTAGTTGCCACAGAAAACATTAAACATCATTTCTCAGCTAAGTAAAATTACTCTAATTCATTAGTCAGAATATGAAGCAAAACATACCAGTATAAGTAATCTATTATTGGATTGCAAGTAATGTTTGATTGCATCTTTGACCGGAAGTAGAGGTGGAACTTGTCTTATCCTTAGCTGAGCTTCAACAACAGTATCATTCAGTTCACTGCAAACACCAATAAAATGTAGCACATAATTCAGGTAAGAAAAAGGTATATTACTTCAAACTGCACAGATGTAAAACACAAATTACTTAAATTTTCTTTTCCAGTTGCTAGTGTCCTCATATAATTTGGAATAAAGAAAAAATCCGATGTGTGGGCGGTCATTGCTTACTGGGCAGACCCTAGGCCCTTTGGGAATTATGGTAGGCACTAAGATGGAGCAGGATCACTGAAGGTGTAGAGGGAGAGAGTTGAGGCAACCTTAGAGAGAGAGAGAGAGAGAGAGAGAGTGGCAGTGAGAGAAACCTTGAGCGTGGTATTATCTTACACACAATTCCCACCAAGATAATTGTCCAATAGTCCACAATATGTGCAACTCTCCCATTCTTAGGAACCAAGGCAATCAATGAAGCATTCAAGACTTTTTTGAATTCTTGCTACTCAAAATAATCATAAGAACAACCTACACATCATTTCTCACCACACTCCAACACGTGTAAAAGAATGCCTAAGTGAAGCATCAAGGCCAGAAGCTTTACCAGCAATTCAACCTACAACCTCTCATAAAACTCCACAATACCGACTCCTTTGGAGCTTGTTCCACCTCATCAAGTCACCAAGTCTCCCTTATGTGATTGCTCCTTTTGTGTGCATTTTCCATCTGGAGTTTTTTTTTTTTTTTTAATTTTTTTTTCTGTTTGTTTATTTATTTTGTGTTTTTATCCCCTGCTCAATGCCAAAAGGATCTAGCACGTTGCCTCCATCTAATTTCCTCCAATATCATAAGCATTCCCACCTCACTACTCACCCTCTCTTCTAAGGATAACTCCTCCCTGCATTCTCATCTAATTCATGATATCTTCAAGAAGCTTCTCAATCCTCACTTCCATCTTGCTTAACACTTCACAAAGTGCATAGAGACCTAAGTAATACGCCTCTCATCCATAAATCACCAACAAAACTATGAATTTTTGTTTTGTAAGTGAACATCGAAAAGAACGGATTGGCATTTCACTAGAGGCTGAATTCATCTACAACGATTCCAAGAGCCAACCTACTCAAACCATCCTGTTTGAAGCAGTTCACAGAAGAAACCAAGCCATGAATTGATAAAATATTCGCCCCAAACCTTATAAAGATTAAAATGGAGGCAGAATGGGAATAAAAACGCCTAGTAGAATTGAATTGCAATATATGCAAGACAGATAAGAAAATGAATCACATGCATATTAGTGTCCATGATGCCTACTCAAAACATGAAAAAGTTCAAGGCAATTCCACTATTTGTTGAGTAAATGTCTTTTTCACTGATATTTCTTTGCACTATACGATTATTTTCACTCTTAAGAAAATTGCATAGCATGAGTTTCAGATACTTACTTTGGCATAGCAAGAATAAAAGGCCATTCTTGTGGCAGTTTCACAAACACAAACAAGAAAAGTATGATACAATCATACAAATGCTAAGAAATTATTTATTCAGTTGCCAATTCAAATGCATATCATGATACTGCTGTATAGTTGTATACCTGACAAAAGTTTCAGCCCATTCTTGAGCAGTGTGGGTAGTCACATGCACAAAGTTATGTCGGTGACGCTTCTCTCTTTCTTCAGCTGACATGTTCAAAGCTTGGCCAATTGAAGAAGCAACTTCAGTTATATTCCAGGGGTTCACAAGAATTGCTCCAGCACCCAGAGACTGTGCAGCACCTGCAAACTACAAGTATGCAAAACAGATGATAATATGTGCTAAAAATGGAAAACAGGAACATCCCTCAATTAGGAGAAAAGATAGCACACTGTATTAACCAAATCAATTAAAAAAAACAAAACAAAACAAAAATCTCAAGTATCCAGGGTTGTCAGTATCGTACAAAACAACGAATATGGCAAAAACTTATAACTGCATTAGATAAACTTTTCAGCAGTATACAGAACAGAATAGTTTATTCAAAAAACTCCAATGGAACCAAAGATCTATATTTAAGTTTCGGCATTATAATATTGTCTAACATGCCACCAACTACAAGCCATTTAAGATAGGTGTAATTTCGGAAAAGATAATTGCACCACAAAAGTAACCACCACTTACAAAATTTCCTTTGTTGTGAAAACAGACAACATACTAGAGCTAGATTAATTGTGCAAAAAAAATATATATATATATATATTAGAAACATTTCATACTTGGTTATTTCTAAACTAACAAAATTCTGTCTCAGAGAAAAATAGAGGATCGGAAGAGTTTTCAACCTTGACCTGAAATTTCAAGAATTTTGCTAAAGGTCACCTAGATGTGACATTTCAGAGTTGAAAACCTTTGTCCTGGAAATTCTTAAATCTGGACATATAAAAATATTTCCTATCCTTTAGAAGCAATAGGTGAGAGAAAATACGAAGAATTTTTTGACACTTAACATAGAAGCATTAAAAGCCTTTTTTTTTTCAATATATATCATCACAAGTAATATACCTAACCATTTTACCAATTAATCTTACAGCTTTTTTTTGGTAATTGAAATTTAAATTTAGACCAAGGAAAATATAGTAAAAGAGTAGTTATGCCTACGATATTTGTAGAGTTTCATCTTCAAAATCAACTATAATGGAATGGGAGTTGGTACTGCTCATCAGTTGCTTCACTTTCTTTCTTTTTCTTTTTCTTTTTTCTTTTTTTCTGTCTCCCCCTTTTTTTTTAAAAAAAAAAAAAAGTTGGCTTAAACTTTATTTGCACTCTCATCCAAAAACAGTTACATCAATAAATTTCCATTGCCTATGTATTTTCTAGTTTTACTTGGTCAAGTTTTCCAAATTGCCTCACGCTATTAAGTAGTAATTACAAGGATACCGTTATATAATCCATTCTTCCCAATCTGTCCTTGACATCAATTTGCTTTCCTCTTTATAGCCTTACCATCAAGTGATAATAACTATGATGCGGCTATGTAACTAAATTTTAACATTATCCAATCTTATCATTTAATCCTTATTATAATGCCTTTAGAGTTTCTCCTCGATATTAATATGACACAATTACATACTTCTTTCATAATTAATAAACAATTATGCTTAAGCTATCAGTTAATATGGTTGTTTTACTCCATCTTACCGTTGATTGTAACAAATAATAAAGCCATTAAAGATGCATGTTTAAAAGATTATTTCTATTCTTCTCCCTAAAATTAACAAATAATACTAATGGTGGTATATTGCCTATATACCATGTTTCCATCATTGCTCTTAGCAATAATAATCAAGCCAAGTAAACTTAACAAACCCCAATTGCTTTGGGTCAGTGGCATGGATCTGTTTCTCCAACTGGCTTATTCAAAGCATACTCTCAATTAAATTTAAGATGATTATCTCCTATCCTATCTCATCACTCTATGTCCTTGATCTTTCTCCTATTCTTTTTGGAACCTTCAACCTACATTAACACCGCTCATTAACACATAATTGCTACATCTACTTCTAGCTTCCAATAAATACATTGATTTCTAGCCACATCTGCTTTAAATCACCAATCATTCATCTCAATCTGTTCATTTCAATCATTCTCATATCCTAAACAAGTTAGTTATATAGCACTAAATAAAAATAGAGCCATTAGATATACATACAAGCATACACATATATACATAAGTAGATATAACAAGTACACATCTTTTACTCTTTTACTCTAATGGACGAAGGGCAACGATGTGAATGGCTACACACAAAAACATGCATACAATGTCCATGCTGGCTTTTAATAGTAAACATCAACAACAATTGTCATTAGCTACTATAAATGCATACAACAAATGTTACTATAATCACAATTAGTATTGTCATATTATTTAAAATATTATTGGCATAATCATTATTCTGAGTGCTCATATTATAATAAATTATTTCATCAAACTATATCTTTACTCATTTTGTCATATTGATAACCCATAATTCAAAACATAAGGAATTCTCAAACACCCTCTCATAAAAAAGAAGAAAAGAAAGACGCATGCAGACACAAATTATTGTACATATATTATCTAACAAGCACGGATAAGGACGAGATAAGGGTATTACATGAAACGGATATGTCAATACAGCAAATTCTAAAATAGTAAGACACGGGTCCATCAAGGACATGACCATATACATTATGCAAGTACATAAATTAAATATATATAGCAACATATTTTATCAAACTATTTATCTTTATTTAGATACAAAACGTTCTTAATTTCAGATTTATAATATATTCACATAGAAAAAAGGCTATATTATGTGGACACAAAGTTGAACCTAATTTGACATGCATTAATCACAATATTTCCAATTTTTCTTGAAGAAGTATTCCTAACAATTACACTCTAATACTACCCATAAAAAAAAAAAAAAATGTCACATCTAAATTTTGAGATGGGTCGGGAAATGACCGAGTATATCCAAAAGTATACAATTCTTCAAAAACAAAGAAAATTAATTCTAAATTATGGAAATGTTTATGAAGTATCAAATGTGCATCCATCGGAATATGAAATTACCAATATCCAATTCATGAAGGATCCATACTTTACAATCTATTATACATTATTTTCTTTTTTTATGGTAAATATAGTGCAAAAATGTATGTTATGTTTCAATTATTGCACTTGACTTTAAATGACGATACCCAATGTCAATAACAATATATACTCTTTCATTTCAAATGAACCTTAAATTTTGGGTAAATTACACTGACCTCCCTTAAGGTTTGGAAAAAATACAATAAGCCCCATAGTTTTGCCATAATTACATTGAACACCTTAAAATTTTAATTCATATAACATTTAGTCCCCTTTCCATTAATAATTTGTTAGTTATACAGATGAAAAAAATGATATTGTCATCTCATTAACACAGAAATGTATACTTTACATTGTTTACTTTTGTGTTTTAGCACCATTTGTATTAGTTTTGGTCCATTTAATCTTCCTAAAATTCATATAACATTTAGTCCCCTTCCCATTAATAATTTGTTAGCTATACAGATGAAAAAATGATATTGTCATTTCATCAACACATAAATGTATACTTTACGTTGTTTACTTTTGTGTTTTAGCACCATTTGCTTTAGTTTTGGTCCATTTAATCTTACTAAAAGGGAGGTACGTGCAATTATGGCAAAATTGTGGAGCTTACTGTATTTTTTCCAAACCTCAGGGAAGGTCAATGTAATTTACCCTTAAATTTTTATAGACAAACTCAGTAATTCCCTAGCCTACATCAATAATAGAAATCACGTTTATTTTCTTTAATGTAGAGGCATTAAAGAAAGCATCAACAACAGTGATCATTGCCCCCTTTCTGTCTTCCTCGCTTAGTTCCCTTGATCCTTTAAAAAAGCCTTCTCATGCTCCATATGCCTATTATTTTTGTGTCACTTATGGCTCCTTGACTTTGCTATTATACTAGAAAGTAATATTACATTAGCCATCCATCCATGTTCTCTCTATCTTGAGGGGACTAATGTCCCTACATGAGGTCATGCTAGTACCCACTTCTACAAAGGCTGGGCTTAATAGTAGCAAGAGACATGGTGGCAACAACCAGAATAAAATTTAAAAAGAAGACTCAAAGAAAATCTTAGAAGTTCTATCTAAAATCGCTTAGTGGCTTATCCTAGTCTCAGTACCAAGCAACCTTACTAATAAGGGAAAAACCATTAACTTAATTAATATTACATTAGTATAAAGTTTAACTTAATTAATTTCCGCCTCCATTTGTTTGTGTCGCTATGATGTAATGTGTAGTCATTCTGAGTCAACAGAATGTATGGTATATCGAGCAACCTTACTAATAAAGGAAAAACCCTTTATTAATATCACATTAGTATGGTATAGCAGAAGGATTTTATTATAGTGTTCAGCCCTTGTTCTTAAAGGGAAGGAAACAAGCAATAGCACGATAGCAAAAAGAAAGTGCAAAGTACCATATAGAGCGGAGGAGTCCAAATGCAAGAAAGGCAAAGCATGAAGCTGCTTGTTCATTCCTTTCCCAACTATAGTTGAACGTGCCTGAAGGAAATCTTTGATCTTCTTGTCAAGAAAGAGTTTGGTTACCATAAGCGAAAGTGAAAACCTTGTATTGAAGATAAATAGGATAAATAACCCCAAGGGTTTGGCCTGGTGAATAAGGCCTGGGACTTGGGGATTTGCCCCCTCCAAGGTCTTAGATTCAACTCCCCTCACCAGCAAAACTCTTGGGACCACAGACCGCAAGGAATAAAACTTGTTTCAGAAGGCTTGTTCAGGTTTTAAGGATTTAGTCTGGTGTGCACAAGCCAGCCCAAGATACCCTACATATCAAAAAAAGAAAAAAGAAAAAAAATCCATTTGGGTAGATAGTATGGAATCCAATTTCCTTGACTATGGAATCCGATTTCCTCGCCATCATCTATCCCTTGAATCCTGGTTGGCAGCAATATTTTGAGCTATGGATCCTACAATTCCCTATGAAGCTCCTTGACAACCCCTTTAATCTATCTTCATCTTGGCTGGCAGCCTAGATTGAGCCCTTGAACTGATCTTCCAGTTCGCTTTGCTACAGCCAGGTAAATCCGCTTATTCTAGGAAAAGTTATCCTGCCCGATGCAAGGGGCGGCCGGAACATAAGAATATGAGTGGGATGGCTTGAGGGCAGTATCGCCATAAACTCCATCTTTATATAGAGGAATGAAAAATTCTTATGACATTGAATAATTAATTGCTACAAAAGCCACACACAAGTCTTGGCTGAAGCAAATATTGATTTTTAGTAGCCAGAATCGCTCAAATCCCAGGCTGTGGTCAAAATCCATTACTCAAAATTTTGTCACAGATTACACCAGATTCCACCATATGTAGACAAACTCATAGATGGCTCTCAAATCCACTTCTCTCCGGTTAGCTTGGGCATCCCACTAGTATTACTAGATTTCGTGCATCAAATCATTTGTGTTGTGTCATGTCCAGTGCTGCATAGTTTATAATAAAGAACTGGCACCTGTGTAAGTTCTACTTGCATTCTCCCTTTTCTCCACAGTGAGCAACGCAAATTTACCAAGTTTATGAGTTTAAGGAGAGACAACTTCCACCAGATCGTAAAAGAAATTCCGAGAAAATCTGGTCAAAGTCTATCGTGTCTTTACCATGAGTTATTTTCCCAGCTAAAAAATAAATAATTAAAGTTTTGAACGTGCTATTATTTATTAATTCCACTATAGCAATGCCAAGGAGACAGACTGAATTTTTAGATGATTTGAGGAATTCAATACATTGTTTTGTGACTCACTTCCATTTTCAGCCACAAGATGTATAAGACAGTCTGTATAAACCAAACATGATGCAATTGTTTGTGTGCCATCAAAACCAATAAATAAAGGATGAATAAATCAGTTGACATATACAGAGCTAAGCTTGTCAAATTGAGGTGATTCATCATCAGTTATATATCCTGTTTAATGTACAAAATTATTTCTTAACCAGTTAAAAAAAAAAAAAAATCATAGTTAGCTATTAAGAAAAAAATATATGCTTTACTTAACAGCATCTAGATGAAGTTAAAAATAAAAAATAAAAAATAAAAAACTAAAATAAAGAAAGAAAAGGAAACGTAAAACATCATCATATCAAAGCTTATTTGACTTAAAAAATCAAATCATTTTATTTATCTTCTCTCAATAATCTTAAACCTTTAGTAGCACCAAAAACTAGTCTACATTCAGACAATTAAGTTGTAAGGACAAAACAGTTGCAAGGAATTGGCAATTACTTCACTAAGAATGAGAACCCCTTTCTTTGCATCTTGACAGGCCACAAACTCATAGCTGACGAGATTCATTCCATCTCGCAAAGATGTGACAAGTGCTACATCTGACCAGAAGAAAAGAAAATACCAATTACCAGTCTAAAATCCTCCATAAAAATTCCTGGCTATTTCAAAGAATTTTCAAGCAGATAATTCGCAAAATAAACTGCTGTTATAATATTGCTGGAGTATAATTGAAATTAAATGATGTAAATAAGAGCAAAATAGCTAATTAGGCAGAGTTTGCAACTCAAAATTTGAGGTCAAAAAATCTTTAACAATATTTACAGAATAAACTCCACTTAGGATCCTCCACAATTTAACCACTCCCAAAATGAAAATTGAACGACTAGATTTGATTGCAAACATACGAAAAATATTCATAAACTCATTCCACTTTTGCATTGAATGACACATGATGTATTGCCACTTCCATCAAATGGCTGAAGAAGTAAACAAAGCCATAGATCCCACAACAATGAAGCCCTTTTGGTCCAAAGAAAAGTGTTCGCAGTAGTTTTAGAAGTCTTAAATAATTCTACTTTAAATTTAATATGCTTCTTGATAGATTTATTTATAATTTGTGCAGTTTTAGTAGACAATAATATTATGGCAATTTCTGTTTTGCTGGACAATGATTTTTTATTGAATGTGTGGGTGACTTTATGGATGAAGTTATGTTTTTGGTTCTTATATGTGGTTTATATTAGGTCTAGAATATTCTAACTAGTCACAATTTCTTAATTTCCTAATTTTGAGTTGTACTTTTTAGAAAATTAGAAGAAGTCTAGCAGCAAAAAAATATCTTTGTAATTCTTGTATTCAAGAGAATCAAGAGAGCGTTGAGTTGAAGAGAGTTTGAGAGTCTGCATGTGTGGACCTAACCTTTGCAAAGGGGAAGGGCTTCTTCTTCCTCTCTTCTTTTTCTCCTCCCCTGCACAAATTTAGCCCCTAAAAGCTTATGAAACAATCCCTAACCAAGACCAAACCTTTCACCTATTATTCGCCTTCAATTTAATAATTAAAACCTCAAATTACCCACCGTCCAGACTTTCCAACAAGCTGCTACTATTGAAGCTAAATTAATTATTGCTAATTTACGTTCTACTTACCATGGAATTTCTACTTTACCTTTTAAAACCTTGACATTAGAAGTTTTCCAAACCCTGAACTCACCACAAATCCTTATCCACTTAATGAAAACCTAGGCTAATTTTCCCAATCTGCATTACATCATAATGTAACGAAATAGTTGAAGACATAGATACTCAACCTAGCTATGAAACACAAACCAAAAGTTACTTTTTTCGTTTTTAATTGATGAAGCATAGGTCTTTCACTCTGTTAACAATTTTGTCAATTGAAATATATTATTGGAATCTAGGACATATGTTATTGAAACATGTTCAGGTACAAGTCAAAAAGCTTTCAGCTAAGAAAAAATTCCTGATTCAATCGTCTGATCTCAATTGCAGTGCACTGTTAATTTATATTGCATGAGAAGAGGTCAAGTGGGACACATTTTAAACAAAAAAATTCATAATATCCTTGGCAAACCAAAATTAAATGTTAAAGCATAAGAACTAGTACCAGTAACAGCATAGAGTGCGCATAATGCATAGAAATCGAGAGAACGATCCTGCAGAAATAGAATAAGTTGCTTTAGAAAAGAGTAAAAATATATAAAATATACAGTTTGACAAAAGTTTAAAGAGAGAGAACATGAAATGAAACAGACATTGCATGCCAACAAAAAAATATACAAGACAAAGCTGCAAATGTCAGTCACACTCCGTAATCCACCTGATATTGTATGCTTGCTTTTTGGAAAAGAAGCAAAGAATTCAGAACATCTGATTTGGGGAGGAAATTCTATAAAACACACCTTAAAACAGAGATGTACCATATGCCCAGTTATGACTTTTGTGGTTCTTGGTTATGACTCATTATGGTGTTGGTTATAACTTAGTTATGACTACAAATTGTGGTTGCTATTTTAGTTATGATCGAAGAGGTGTTTGGTTATGACCCATTTTGATATTGGTTATGGCTCATTGTGGTGTTAATTATAACCCATTGTGGTGTTAATTATAACCTATTGTGGTCATTATTTTGGTTATGACCGGAAAGGTCTTTGGTTATACCTCAACTGGTGTTTGGTTATGACCCATTGTGTTTCTTTCAATTATGACTGAAAGTGAATTAATTATGACATTTGAGGTATTAACACTACAAATTGTCATAAATTGCATATAGTACACACCCCAACGAGTGATGTGTATTGTAGAAGAACCCTGGATTGATCTACTTATCACAAAGGAAACATGATTTTAATTATGAGCAAATAACATCCTTCTCCCCTTCACTGGCTTTAAAACACTATCAAACGGATAAATCTTATTCGACATTGGTGGATTTTGGTTAATTGGTGTTGTGTATGTGATAGGGATGCGGACTCGGCGTCTCATCTTCTTCTTCATTGCTCTGTGGCATCTTTTCTACGTTTAGGATGGTTTGGGTACAATAAGGTAATGTCAACGATGGCCATGTTTGGTTTGGTTTTCAGAAACTTTTTCTAAAAGGCAAAAAATTAGTCTGGTAAAATAAATAAATCAAAAACACTATCATTTTTACATTATTTTATCTTTTGGAAGACTAGAAATAATTTTTAAATTTCGAGTTTTTTTTATATTTATTTTTATAAAATTAGTTTTTTATTTTTTCAAAAAAAATTCTGAAAAAGAAACCAAACAAGGCTGATGTTTTTCACAGCTGGAGAGGAGGTAGGCTTGGGAAGAGACATAAGAAGGCGTGGGCTCTTGCGCCTCTGTGTCTGATGTGGATGATTTGGCTAATCAGTGAATTTTCAAGGGGTGGCTAAACCTGTGGCTTATATGAAGAATAGGCTTCTGGTGATTTTGTATAGTTGGGTTATGGGAAGAGTGTCTCCGGATTTGTTTTCTTTTGTGGATTTTATAGATACTCTTCACGTTTAGAGGTGGATTTTTTGTGTGTTGATTCTTATCCTTTGTATTTGTTAGCATTGTCTTGATGCTTTTGATTAATAACATTAACTTTTATTTCTCAAAAAAAATAGGAAGGCTGTAGGCACCACTTATGACAGTGATTCAGTTGTTCCAAAATGATTTTGGACAAATACACATGCATTTGAAAAAGAGTACTGTTTGTTGAGGGCAAGACCAAGAAAAAAGAAGTACAAGTGTGCTGTCGGGACACAGAATCTTTCGTTGCATTTCTGTGTGGCGTCTCAACTCTGTGGATTGATTTTGCAGTGTTTGGTTTGTATTGGGTGCAACCAGGGTGTGTGGTGGATGTCTTGTGCAGTTGGAGGGGGGTTCAAGTGGGGAAGAGACGTCGGAAGGCTTGGGAACTTGCACCAATGTGTTTAATGTGGATGGTTTCGCTGGAGCATAATTGGCAGATTTTTCAAGGGGTAGAGGTCTCAGTGCCTCATTTGAAGAATAAATTTCTGGTGATTTTGCATAGTTGGGCGTCAGGTGGTGTGATTCCGGATTTGTTTTCCTTTGTGGATTTTATTGATTCTTTGCACATCTAGATGTAGGTGTGGGTGCTGCTGGTTGTAATTGTTGCATCGTCTTGATTCTCTTTTCCTAATAAATTTACTCTTTATTTATCACAAAAGAAAAAAGAAGTACAAATAAGATACCCTTCATACCAAATTATCAATTAAGCAGAATAATAACATATCAAACATATGTCAGGGATCTAGCAGATTAAGTAATGGACTATGAAATCAAAGATTCACCAGATGATGTATTGGAACAGCAGTCAAAGTCCCAAATCTGCCATTAATGCGTCCAACAATTTCATGAACCTGGCTTGTAAGTTTTTGATCTGTGAGAAAGTATATAATTCAAAAAAATTAAAATTAAAAAAATGAACTTCCATATGCTAGAATAAAATTCAAGTATGACATTTGCATGCACTAAGGAACACTGTGTTAAGTTATTGGAGAGTCACTAGAGATTGTCACTGGTTGTGCAGATATGCAATTGTTTCAGGTAAAAAAAATCTTCCTAAATGAAGCACAAATACTTTAGAAGAGAGTTATATTTGTATTGTATTCATATCAGAAACTCATGGTTAAGTATCAAATACTTCCTAAATGTATACATAATTAAAAATTAATTTTCTTTAATTTTGAATTTTAGTATCAAATACTTCCCAGATACTCTAAGTCACATAGCCCACCCATCTTAATTTTGAGATGTCAAAATATTTTTTCTTTTTTTTTTGAAAAATAAAAGGTAAATTTAATTAAAAGAAGAGTAGCAAGATGATGCTAACAAACACACCATCAACAATCAACCCCCACTCCTAGACAAATAAAGTATCTATAAAATCCACAAAACAAATTTAAAGCGGAGCCACCTTGCATTCTCATTAGAGACGAAAGAATTGGAAAATAGTGAGATTAAATAATGTCAAATTTGGTTCAAGTTTGTGTGCCACATAATATAATCTTAATCTTTTATTCACGTGAATATATTATAAGCTTGAAGTTGAGAATATTCTATAGATACTTAAATACAAATAGTTTGTTACAAATATAATCTGAAAAATTTAATTTTTAATACATATATACCATGTTTATATGTATATATCACCATATACTTAATGCATCCGTATTTTTGTATCTTACCTGTGTCCCATATCCATATCCATGCTTCATAGATGTCTTTCAATCAATGCAGCTAGACATGGCAAACTGAGATGGCATAGGCTTGTGTACAAACAAAAGATATTTAATCGGACAAAGTCACTTTCCGAACAAAATATAAGAATGCTAGATATTGTAATCTTTGTTAAACCATCAGATGAAGACATGTACACCAACTCTTGTAAGGAACTACAGCTATTATTCTTTCTCAGGAAGAAAATTAGGTGGGTTATCAATTATCATGAAGACTTTGGCAACATCATGATTTGAAATTGCATGTGAATTTGTCCTAAAATTCATACTGTTGAAAAAAAGATGCATATTTTCTCTAACCATCCCTCACGTGAAAACTATCATACATACACAATCAGACAAACAGAAAGAATCAAGTGAAATTAGGTAGCCAACAAGTATTAAATGCAAATGGATAACTTTACAACAAGACCTCCCAGTTTAGTGAAATCAAATGTAAAGCAAAGCTTCAGGTGGAGAATGAAAAGTTTATTGGATTGTAGACGGGAGAATATCAAAGTGAAAATTGTGCTTTGTTTGATAGCAAGATTGCCCTCCACCTAAGTTTAGATTCTCGAAAAGTTTCTACATTAAGGCCAGGGGCTACAGGGGCATTCTAGACCCCAAACAACACTAATAAGACACAATGATCAATTTTCTTATACATTTGTAAAAAATAAATGTATTATTGATTGATGAGTTGATGATTGATATTTGATTCTGTTACAATTGATTGATTATATAGATGTAGGTTAGGTGGTGGTAGGTGAGGAGTAGGTGAGTGTAGTAGGTGAGTGTGTGGTAGGTGATGGTAAGTGTGTGGTAGGTGATGGTAAATTCTAACAGCCCCCCGCAAACTCAAGGAGGATAGAAACTAACCAACTTGAGTTTGAAGAGAGGAACAAAACAAGAAAATACATAAAAAATAAAAAAGGATAGGAGACACTGTATGGTCGTGTCAGACCATTGGTGAAGACACTGAATGGTGGTGTCATAACGTTGTAGAGGACACTGTATGGGGGTGTCATAACGATGATATACTAAACAAATCTTAAAATATGAACGATTTATATTATCAAAATTGGACCTAAAACCTAAAAGTGAGCGCAATGACCTTGCAAGTAAGAAATACAAGGAGGCGATCTTGATTCTACTCTGCCTACCCATCAAATTCGCAAGCATATCCTCCATTGTAATTGTAATTGTATTTGTATTCTTCGACATCTCTATCTGAATAATCGAGCATGGCGCTCATTCCAAGCATCTTCGGCGGGCGAGGAAGCAACATCTTCGACCCATTCTCCTTCGACATCTGGGATCCCATCTCCGAGGGGTCTGGGGTAGCCGCACGGGAGACCTCGGCAGCATCGGCCATAGCGAACGCTAAGATAGACTGGAAGGAGACACCGGAAACTCACATAATAAAGGCTGATCTGCCGGGGCTGAACAAGGCGGAGGTGAAAGTGGAGGTGGGAGAAGACGGAAGAGTGCTGCAGATAAGCGGGGGGGGGGGCCAGGGGGGGGTCCCCCCCCGCCGGTGAAGCGAAAAATACTAAGTTCTTAACTTAACTCTGATACCATGTAAAAATTTATGTATTATTGATTGATGTTTATTGATATCTATTACAGGTAATGTGGTAGTAGGTGTAGTGGAGGTGAAGTGGAGGTAGGTGAAGTGGAGTGTGTAGTGGAGTAGGTGAAGGTAAGGATGGAAAATTCTAACAGAAGCCATTTGGACTAACCACACAACTAAGGTAACTAATTTATAGGTCAAAATTATCACCATCACAAATTTGCCGGACAAATGAGGTGCAGCATTTAAACTCCCAGCTGGCTCTGCTCCAACGCATGTATAAGGATGCGCGAGCAGAGATAAGCGTGCTAAGGGCAGAAAACAAGGAGCTGAAGCGGAAGGCCACCGTGATGTTCCGATTTGGAGGGCCGCCATATGCGGCAGTGGAGGAGTATGGGGGAGTGAACGTGCTCGGCGGCGTGGAAAACACGGAGGCAGCACCGTCAAGGGCTGCTCAGGACGGAGGCAAGAAGAAGAGACCGGCGGCAGAGTAGAGACGAAAAATCCCACTGTTCCAATTTGTGTTGGTTTTTTTTTTGTGAAGTGGTGTAAAATGGTGATCGGGGTGAGCCCCGACATGAATAAAATAAGTTGGTGTGCAGTTGGTCTTCTGCCTCTTTTTTAATGAAAAAAAAGATGAAAAATAAAGTGAAAGAAAAATAAAAAAGAAAGAAATAATAAGAAGAGAATCACGTGGGTTGCTTGTAATGGAATCAGAGAAATGATGAAAGTGGGTTTAGTGGATAGAAAAAGGGATGAGAGAGAGAGGGAGTGGATGGAATTAAAAAATAAAAAATAAAGAAAAATAATGTTATCAGAAAGGGCATGTGCAAAGCTGTGTCGTGGGCCTTTAGAGAGAGAAGGTTGGGCGGTTGTCCAATGTGGAGGACAAACATAGTGGGTTATATTATATGCAGAAAGTGGGCGGTGAGATGAGAGAGTCATGGGATGCTTGTCGGAAAGGGTGCTGTCCGTGTGTATGATGATGGCTCTGAATCTTGCAGCGGTGGTGGAAAGATTGATAGGAGTCGGAGGTTGATCAGGTTGCTTCTCCAACTTAAGTTTCTCTATGGATGTGTTAGGTAGCCAAGAATGGAACTTTGAAGGTTCCGAATCTCCATCGCAAGATAGATCTGTAAATTTTCCAGAACCTTCTCGAAGTTCTGGTGGAGTTTCAAGTAAGGTTCCACAGGCTTTGAGAAATCTGCCCTCATCCTTGAGCTCCCTGTTGTTGTTGCCATGCTCTGGAGTCCTCAAGGCAGGATTTTTTTCATCCTGACATGGCAATCCTTCTTTATCATCGGCAAGTAGTAAGGATGACAGAGGATTCCGAGATACAACAGGTTTTCTGAGATTCGAAGGGAGTGGTTCTGTTCTTTCACACCCACGATCCATCGACACCATTATCTTTGGGGAAAGCTGTTTTATGAATCGAAGGAGGGAAGGAAGCACAGGAAGGCGATTCGAACAAGCCCAGATAGGAATACTCACGGCAATTGCCTCGTCCGGTGATCGGACAGGAGGGATTGAATAAGAGCTTGGGTCAAAAGCATCGAAATCGATGATATGAACACGGCCGCCATAGCCAAGAGCTTCGAGGATTGCTTGGTTAGAAGTGAAATTCATGAAATGGGTAACAGGGGAGGCTTCAGAGAGCAATTTATAAGCACCCATTTTGAACAAAGCATCAAAGGGCGTAGAAGTTCTAGGAGGTGTGGGTGAATCTGGACCGTTGATTCACGGGTTGGGTGATGAATCAGTTTGTTGAGGAAGGAGAAAGAGAATTAGAAAATTTTGGGTTTGTCCGGCGGACGGTCAAGGCGAGGCTGCCGTCCGCCGGTGAAGCGGAATCACTAAATTCTCAACCTTGCTCTGATACCATGTAAAAAATAAATGTATTATTGATTGATGAGTTGATGATTGATATTTGATTCTGTTACAATTGATTGATTATATAGATGTAGGTTAGGTGGTGGTAGGTGAGGAGTAGGTGAGTGTAGTAGGTGAGTGTGTGGTAGGTGATGGTAAGTGTGTAGTAGGTGATGGTAAATTCTAACAACATTCTAACAAAGGTTGAATCCATGCGTCCTAAAATAATTCAAAAAATTTTATACAGCTAGTTTTCTTCTCTTTTAACGTCCACAATTGGTCTTGCGGCTTGATCCATGTCAAATGTTATCATATGTTAAGCCTGTAAAGCTCTGATTTTCTTTCCCTTCTCATAATTGCTGTTGAAGGTAAATGTTGCTACTTCTGAACAAGGTTAATTGTTACAGCAAATGATAAATTTTGCAAGTGATCCTATATCAATTTAAGAAGAGAAATGGCATTCCGAAAAAATAATCCAGATCTCAGTCCGAAGAACTGTGTTGGTGTTGTGAAATGACTTCATTGTAAGCTAATGAATATGTGGGGCCTAGAGACAGTGATGCTATTAATCTCATGGATGATGCCAGCAAATTCAGATTGCAGTTTTGTACTACAAATTCGGACAGTATTTCAGTGCTCATTTAGAAAGGTTTTGACTGTTGAACTTCAGAATATAATTCATCACATCTTTCACACATACTACAGCATCATTAAGGGCTTAATAATAAACCAATGTGCCTAACGGGGGCATATATTTTTGTTGTTGCTGTCCACCCTGACATGCACACTTCAGATAGATTAACTTTTTCTGGCCAGCGGTAATAATCAAACTCTTTTTTTTTGGCTAACAATAAAATTCAGACCCCTAACCTCACCACTCCCTTCAGATGCCACACCCTCACTTTAACTGCAGTGCTGCAATGGCTTTGGTCCAAGTTTGATCACTCTAATAAGAGGAATGACAACCATGCTACAACATTCAATAGTTTAGTTGAGGCTTTTTCCAAGTAAGGTCCAAGACGATCAAGCTCAAGGGTCAGAGGCAAGCAAATTTCAGGGGTTCCAATACAAGGTTCTCCAAGAGCTCAAATCCCTTAGCATTGCATAAAAAATGATGTTTATCTTTGGAATTATGGCGAGACTGCTATTCTAAGAGTTCAAATTTACAAAAAGAACCTTCACAGAGGGTACCACTTATGGCAAGAAGTAGCCATATCTAAGGGCAACTTCATCAGGGCAGAAGGACTCAAGTAATATCTGACAAATATCTACAGTTGGAGAAACCATGGCATCATGTACCAGAAACTTAACATGTTCCTGTAAACAACTGCCACATTTAATCGTTAATTGTCTACATAGCACGGTGTATGCCAGTGTAAATCCTCAACTTTCACAAATAAAGTCCTAACTTCTCAATAAGACTCTTCTTTTTATTAAATAAATAAATAACGGACACACATCAGATCTTCTAGTCTGAAAAATATAAGTTAATTCCAGACAAGAAACTATTTGACATATAACGATTCCAATGATAAAATCACGTCAATAGAAAGATAAGATTGAGCTGGTTACGTAAATAGCATACATTCAGGAACATCTGTTCTTGTTGGCACAGCAATTTGCAGCAAAACCACTTTATCACGCCAATTCGGGTTTTCCTCAAGGAACTTTTCAAATGCCAGAATCTTTTGAGGAATTCCTTTGATCATATCAAGGCGATCAACACCTAACATCACCTGTAAAACAGCAACAAATCTAGTAAACAGAGCCAAAGTCTAACCACAAAATACTTACAAGCACAATAGATTGCTGTTTGAGGCTTGATTTTTTTTTCAAATAAAAGAATAAGAAAAACGGAACTATTTTGTCTATGTACAAAAACATCTTATGCATAGCAGTCCATCAATGAAAACAACAACATAATCACATCGGTGACATAAAAATAAAACACTCGAACAACATAAAGTCAATAGAATTATCTGTTTTATTTCTTTTCTTTTTTCCTTTTCGTCTTTTAAATCAAAGGATAGCATATATTGGTTGAACCTTAAATGCACTGAGGAAATTGCAAAATATTTAGTAAGCAAAATTGGTATTCATATCTATTCCCACCCAAGGACACTATCAAAGAACACGAAACTAAAAAATCAAAAAGATAAGTGAATGTTGTAGTATCATATACATCTCATATATGTGTGTTCATATTATAGTTGTCAAATCGGGATTCAAATCGAATCGAAATGGAATTGTACTAAATTACGAATCGAATCGTGAATCGTAAAGATTCAGTCATCTTTTTTAAAATTACATAGAAAAATATATCTACACACTTAGATATTAAACATATCTAATAAATATGAAATATTTAGACTTAAATCAATAAAAATATTGTTTTAAATGATGATCATGCGGTCTAGGTAAGAAGCTAACACAAGTTCCCATGTTACCACTTCACCTTTTCCCTTTTAGATACTATTTCTTATCAACCATTCTTAATAAAGAAAGCAAACAAAGACAAACTTTCAATTTTCAAGTACCAACAACTCAAACAACAATGTTTTTAACTATTTACAAGGTTAAAAAATCAAAATTTTCAAACTTTTTAAAAAATCTCACTTGATGCCTCCAAAAAATTCATTTTGTAAATGCAAGTATGTAGATAAAATTGAATATGTAAGCCTAGAATATTGTAGAGAGAGAAATTTCATTTTTTTTACTCTAAGGTTTGAGTATTTGAGAGTAAATAGGGAGGGAGAAAGTCAAAAGATAGCATATATTAACCCTAGAGACCTTAAAAAGGTTGTGTGAACCCTTTTCCAACATTAAAAAACCAAAAAAGAAAGCCAAACATCGATTTTAGTGAATTGAATCGATTCACGATTCACCGATTCAGTTCACCAATTCACTTACAATTCATAGCTATTTGCAATTCACACAACCTATTCGTATCGATTACCCCCTGAATCGAATCGAATCGTACGATTCGAATCACGAAAAGTACGATTCTAACAACAGAAGTTCATATCAAATATATATATATATATATATGTAGAGAGAGAGAGAGAGAGAGAGAGAGCAATAGTTTGAAAATCCAATGAGTTATAATTGCAGCTCTTTGCGACTTCTAAGAAATGAATAACCAATCAATTACCATATAAGTAAAAAGCAAAAGCACAATACACAATAATTTAACTCAAAAATAAGCAAACATGCACAATTGTAAATATACTTGCACATAGCCGATACATAACCTTTAATATGTATCATCTTGTAATGAATGAATAATTAGGTCATCAAAATAGAAACGGAGGAAATTTATATCTCAACCTCTGTTATCAAGATCTTACAATTTGAGATTCATGCATAGATCAATATGAATCTGAGTGAATCTATTTTGGTATAAAACCTATTGTGATTTGCATGATTCACAATCAATTCACAATTCATGCAATGATTGAAATTATTGTGTCCAACAGATTCCGACTTCTTTTACATTTTTTTTAATTGAAAATGATATAATACAATTTCTGAGAGTGTTTAGTACGAAAATAACCAATACTTATGTATGATTTGTTGTTATTTTAGTTTGAACTGAGAATGTGCAGAGAGACACAGTAGCTCAAAATTTATCCAGAGGTTGTAAATTAGAGCTTTGAACTGAGTTTTTTACAAGTTAATGTAAAGTTCAACTCTAAAATTTAATTTGAGGTATTAATGTAAAATTAACTGAAAGTTCACAAGAATAAACAGCACCAAGGAATATAGCACCAACCTTTCTCCCAGCAAATCTATCTTTTAGTTCTTTGATGTGTTTCTGGACTTCAGTATCCTCAAGTGCACGAATGAACCGATCTGAATCTATCCCAATAGGAAACTGGAATTCAATGAACATTAAAACAAGAATAAGCTTAACAAAGTTGGCATCAAAGTAGTTCAAAATGGAATTTTAAACACTTAAGTATGTTAGCAAATTTATGCAATACCAATATATAAGAAGTGATTTGAAGAATCAAATAGAATGAAGAGGTAAGAATGCACAAAATGAACAATGTAGTTTTCAACATACCGCAGCCACACGAGTCAGCCTTCCTTGATCCTCTACTCCTTCAGGTGTGCCTTCAAGCCCAAGAATTCGAGTGCACGCACTAACAAAATGCCTAGCATAGTCATAGGTGTGGAAACTGAAATACAAAAATCAATTAATTCTCATTTTGCAAGTTCTAACATATGATGATCTCAGTAAGAAAATTGATTGTCGCAAATAAAATATGCAGAGATATTATGGTTAAAAAAGAAAGACTAAAGAGAGTAGCATAATAAGGATCAACTCATGCAAATTCTGCCAAGGTTTAGTATCTTAACCTCAAGTACATAAAGATAGGAACACAAAGACATGCAAATGGGGGAAAAAAAATAAAAAATACATGTAACTGGGGAAAAATAAATTAATTGTCAATGCACAATAAGGGTTAACTCATGCAAATTCTGCCAAGGTTTAGTATCTTATCCTTCAATTACTTTGAGATGGTGGTAAGTAAATCCATTAGTTAATTAAAAAACAACGCCCAATTAATACACATTAATGTGTGTTTGGGAGGGAAAAGATTGAGTATACACCTAACCTTTGGCATAATGTACAAAGTGGTTGCCCCAAGACTTGAACCCATAACTTCAAGGTTATCAGGCCAAGGTTTTACCATCGAACCAATGGTCACCCCTAAATCCATTAGGTAATATGTGGATAAAAATGATAATAATTGCAGAGCTTCTATGAGAACTTAATCATGAAGAGATCCAATACCCTTAACATCATACTATGAGCAAGAGAACTGCATGGTATGTCATAGTTTTGGAGAAAACTATAATCTTGGTGGCAGAGATGGAAATTTTCACATACAAACATTGCCTGATTGAACAATAACGAAATAAAACTTTACTATTAATATTCCAGCATGCATCAAAAGTATCCAACTATTTTGGGCTGGCAGTATGGTATGAATCATTAAGGTTGAGAATTTCTCAGGTCATGATATTTGTATTCTCTTCTTTTCTTTTGTTTTTTCATTGAGTCTACAGAAAAGAAAAACTAAGGAAGGCAATATGAAAATTTTGAAATTTCTCAGTTTAATTCATTCTCTTTCTTAGTTTCATATACCAGTCAAGAAATAAACAGCTCATTAATTTAAATAATAACAAGGCCTAGTGAATTCTTGAAGTTTTACCATCTCATAATAGCTTCTATCAATATAAAGATTTTAATTTTACAAATTCAATATATACATAATGTCCAATTTAAAATATAGCAAATCTAAGGTGCAAAATAAATGTCCATCATTGAGTTGAAAGTTGGACCACACAAAAATACTATGTGTGAAACAGATTTATAAACCTCCCACATTACATACTCTACCATACAGCCGAAACCTCAAAAATTGGTTTGATTAAGAGAAGGTTAGTTTTTTTGAACTCTTCAATTGGCAGATTGAACTAAAGAATATACAACACTGGAAAACATGAAGAACAAGATCAAGAAAAACATGAGTGCAAATGGACACATTCAAAGACAGATCTCCCAGCTGTATCCTTCTCATGCCAACAGAAGCCAATGAGATATAGACATACAGCACAGTTGCACCTCAATAAATCTCAAAATTCAACATATTTGTCAACAGTTCGACATGAATAAATTTATATCAAAGCACATAGGCAGCATGATTCCATGTTATGTGAGTGATGATGCAAGATGCAAGTAGCTTGTTGCCTTTGACAGAATAACCCACATAGCTTCTGACTTTAGGAAATATTATAGATAGTTAGCAGGCATCAAGCATTTGACAGTTTAAAGAAGAAATGTGTTCTAGTGATTGAGAAGGCACTTGCATAAGTTTAGAAGTTTGCAAGAGATGCCAATTAATCTGAAATACTATTGCCAGTCTAATAATATTCACCATGTTAAATGAGGAAAAGTGCCATGAGATAAAATATTGGTGTAGAAAACTACAACTTACCCAACCAGGTCAGCAGCAAGAACTGCACGCAGCAGCTCTTTTCGAGATGGCAGCGTCCTGTGGATTTCAGAAGAAGGAAAGGGTGTGTGAAGAAACCAACCAACTTTCATTTTGCTATTGTGTTCCTTCAAGCATTTTGGAAGAAACATGAGGTGGTAGTCATGGCACCACACAACATCACCCTCTTCATAATGCTGGTTTACCACATCAGCAAACATCTTATTTGCTTTCATATATGCAGCAAACTGAGACTGAAAACTTCTGGTAGTGGCAAGACGATCTTCTTGCGGAAGTCCAAGATAATGAAAAAGAGGCCATAATATGTTGTTGCAATACCCATTATAATATTGATGAACAATATCTTCATCAAGAAATACTGGAATACATCTCTGCAGTGAACCCAAAAGGAAAAAAAAATCAGGAATTTAATGATGCTCGCAAGAATTCTTCATAAATCAAACTCAAATATTTAAAATATCGATGTCACAAGGCTAGAAAAGATTGTGGCCTGAAACTTTGAACCTTTTCAGCCAAAGCTTTAGTAAGTGCCCTCTGTCCAGCCTCATCTGGCACATTAACACCAGCCCACCCAATCCATCTTGCCTCGAACTCCTTCACACCTATAAAAATTTCAATTAACATGTATTAGGTTTCTCGATGAGGGTAGAAACACAATCTATATAACAAACCAAATGAGACCAAGTAGTAAATTCAATGCATAAGGATGTTGAGATAAAAAACAAGAAAAAGAACTCAACCTAAACTTACCCAGAAGAGCAGTGACTAGACCCCCGCCGCTTATCTCCAGTGACCAGGACTCCTCACCTCTTCTAACTGCAGAGACAGGTAACCTATTGGCCACCACCAACAGTCTTTGCCTGAAGGGTCTCCCATCTGGCCTTTCCCATCCTTCACCAAGCGCCTGTGCAGCCGAGGCCCCTTCCAAATATTGTTCCACATAGGAAGAAGCCCCAAAGTTATCGCCTTCTCTCGAGCGCAGTTCAATCCCTTTGTTATTTTCAGTAGCCTCATTTGAATGAGAAGCCTTGTTGCTCTTTCTTATCTCTCTATCTCTCAAGAGCCTTTCTAATCTACTTGTGGGGATGGCTGGGTTGCCGTTGTACTTGTTCCCAGGCATATGCTCAGTCTACAACTAAACCTCCACCACCAACTTTAGTATGAATTCCAGGCTTTCTAGAGAAAATTAAGTTTCCTACATTTTTCATTAGAGCAAATTAAGTCCAACAAATCTTGATACTAAAGCATACAAAAATTTATAATAGAACAATTTTCGAACAACGAGTAAATAGGCAATTCTACAGCAGTGGAACAATTTTACTTCAAATTCATACCAAATAGACTTGTCATCCTCAGTAATAAACACATCAAAACAAGAGAAAGGCAGTAAGGGTGTATAGAAAGAGATAATACAGATAATGGGATCCACACAGAAATGTATGGGGGAAATGAATGGGGTCTACCAATGAGTCCTGGTTATTTGTATTCAATAATTTTATAAAGCCACATTCTACACATTGAGATATGAAATAGCACAACCATCCTTAATGCCATAAAGCAAGAGAGAGAGACACAGAATGACATATGGGCAGAGAGAAATGAATTATAAATCATATAATTCTCTATATATATACATAGAGAGAAGCTGGATAATGGGTTAAATATAAATTCTTGAGGCGAAAAACTAGTTTCTGGTTCTGCCACTGACAACTACAACAAAAACTCACAACATTGCATGGGGAAATTCAAAGAGTTCGATTAAGTTGAAGCAACAAGACAGCTTTCGGCTAAATTCAGAGCTATATCACCTCCAAAAACTCACAAATTTCAAAAAAAGAACAGAACCAAGAAACAAGAAATCTAACAAGAAAAACAATACGGCCAATATGGGTTCACCTAATTTCGATCCAAATGTTGATTTCTTGAAATGGGTTTTCAATCAAAACATTGTGGGATTTCTGGGTGGGTAATGAAACCAATTTGGGTGCAGTAGGGAGAGGGAGAGAGAGAGGGGCAGAGAGAAATGTCGAGATTGTGGGGTTGGCAGAGGATTATGTTAAGGTAGTGAGAGAGTGAAAAAAAAGAAAAGAAAAAAAAAAGAGAGAGAGAGGAGCAAAGGAGACTTCGTGTCGTGTAACCTTTACAAGGTGCACGCCGCCTTACAGCCATGCAGGTAACACCAAGGATTTGCTGAAAAGGAAATACATATATATATATATAATGGAATGCTTACGCAAGAAGAGAGAATCTCATCAAAAACCTCATAGATTATTTGTGTGTGATTAATAAGATTACTAATATGCAAATGCAATCAATGCAATTATTCTCTTTGCTCCGGTTGGCACCTTCCGGTGGACTCCGCTTCCGGTGGGTGCTCATTTCTCCTGGTTTTTCGTTCCGAATCATTTTCTCACCTTTCGTTTTTGGAGTTTTTGGATTTTGGATTCCTACATAATTTACCTAGGGCAAATTGCAAAATAATAATAATAATAATAATAATTACAAAAAAAAAAATTGAGAAATGAAAATAATTATAGTATACATAAAAAGATTAAAAAATAATTACAAAAACACGATAAAATGTGGGTTTTCACTTAAAATTTTGCCCTCTAAACTTCTCTTTAGAGCATCTCCAATAGTTCATCAGATTTTTAATCAAATCTGAGTAAAAAAAAAACGATTTCCTCTATTTGATATCGCTTGCTCTAACGGAGAAATTTGGCTTTTCATCAAACTACCGGCCGATTGGGCGGACGACCGGCCAGTCGACCAATCAATGCAAAAAAATGAAAAACTTGGTTCTGATCTCTCTATTTTCCTTTTCTTTTTTTTTTAACTAAGAAAACAAAAAGGTGATCAACCGAGGGGTGGACCGGGTGGTCAACCTCCTAGTGTAAAATTTTCATAAAATTTGGCTTAAGGTGGTCATCCGGGAGGACGTCCAGCCGACCATCCAATGGGTCCCACACTCAACGACTACGCATAGTAATTTGGTGAAAAGTGCAACACATCTTCAGTTTGGTGAAAATTTAGGGCTATTCTCAATTTAATATCAGTTTGATAAACCCATTAGAGCCAAAAAAGTTGTACTTATTCATCAAATTCAAATTTGGTGATACATTTGCTTAACTGTTGGAAATGGTCCTTCTTTTCGCCCTCTTTCTTTTTTCTTTTCCACCCGAAACCATCTTCAATCAGAGACCACCCCTCCATCATTCTTAGTCGCTAGCCACCTCTCTCCTTCTTTTCTTGACCCCAAACCCTCTGTGCCCACCCCTATTTACTTTCTTGCCGTTGACCAAACTGTCTCTCAACCCCATTCTACCTTATTTTCGTTTCTTACTACCATTACTATAACACCCGAGCGATACTCCAACCATTTCCTATATCCTTCGGCCCAACTCTAGCTCCTTGTTCCCATCGTTACCACAACACCTCTAACTCCTCCTTAAACCACCAAGCACTTCCAACCTCCCTCCTAGAACCTTAAATCTCTCTTTCTCTATTTCTACCATGATCTATCTTATTGAGTAAAGTAAGGTAGGAAAGGGCTAGAGATGGGCAGAGGGGGTTGGAAGAGGGCTAAGATGGTATCGACAACAATGAGGAAGATGGTTGATGGCCAAGATGGTTCGGAAAAGGCTAGGGTAGACATAGATGGTTGGGAAGAGTTAAGATAGGGTTGCGGCTAGGGATGGCAAAATGCCTTGACCTGCCAGGTCCCTGACGCCCCCTAACCCTAATAAGATGGGTTTAGGGATGGTTAAATAGACTAGAGTTGAATTTGAGAAAATTTTTAAAAAATCAAATTTGGTTTAGGCTAGGGGGAGAGAATTTTTTTACTCGAACCCTACTCGACCTGCAAATATAATAATAAATAAATAATAATATTACATATATATATGTGTGTGTATAATATATTATTAAATTTTTATAAAATATATATAATATCTATTGAATTTTTATCATGTTATATATATATATATAATATAATTTTAATATATATACAATATATTATATATTTTTATAATTATAAATAACATAATTGTTAAATTTCCTATTGTGTTGCGGATCGAGTAGGGTTGGAAATGGGAGTTATATTTGTACGTTTAGATGCAGGTGGCAGAGAGTTCCATAAAGGTCAGGTTGAAGGTGGGAGCAAGTAGCAAAAATAGGAGTGGGATGGGGTAGAGGGTCTCCGACTCATACCTAGCCCGATGCCATCTCTAGTCGCAGCAATTAGAAAGGGTGAGAAAGAGAGGTGGTCACTGCCTATAGAACATGGGACACAAATAATATAAATAAAAAAAAAAAAAGATGCAAATAAAAGAGAAGTTGCAAGGCAAAAAAAGAAATGACAAAAAAACAAATTTCACCATAATTTTGTAACTAGTTTTTAACTTTCCGTTTATAGCTATTATTTCCAATTGCCCACATTTAATTTCTTTTATTTTTCTGCAATTCTTTCAATTAATTTTATGCATTCATTTAATTACTTAATAAGTAAAATAATAAAATTAAACTAATGAATTGGCCTGATAAGTTAAACTAAGGTAGCCAATCCTTGGCCAGGTGTGATGTATGACAAGTTATTTAGTAGTGGAGCACTAATGTTCTATACCATTTAACACTGATACTTGTTAGATAATTTCTTAACATCATAACAAAAAGTAGAGAAAATTAATCTACGCTCTCTTTTTCATTTTTTAGTAATAGAAAAGATCTACAATATTATTTTGTGATATCTAAGGTCTTTCAACCCCACACTCATATATCACAGAAAAATTTGATTCTCTCAGATCATACCTTGAGAGACTAATGAATCGCCGTACTCGATGCCGTAGACGCAGGTGTTGGTGAAACAACGAAAAGCAAAGCTGGTGGTGAAGGAGAGTTGAGAGCTACAAGTGATATTGGTGCATGTGGATGAGAGAGAAGGATCGTAGATTGGTTCTTGTTGTTGATTGTAGGAACCGAGACATGACTAGCATTGAGTCCAGGTGAAATCGCTGTCGGTGTCAAAGATGAGGGTGAAAATTTTTTTCGGAGGCGGCGCTGTTTCTAGCGAATGCCAAGCAGACCTACCACATACTTCCGGCATAAAGTATCCCATTCGCGGCGAGAGGAACCTCGATGTTGCCGCCAAACAAGAAGCTGATCTTCGAAATTGACACCGTACTGTACTTGCTCATATCGTAGCAAGTATTGAGAATTGATAGAGGTTGAGTCATCGAATATTGCTTCATCTGTTGCTGGAGAGTTGACCGGAGAGGTGTGCACATAGCTGGAGCGAGTCGAGTGATGACGGTGTTGTTCCAAATAGGGAAATTACTTCTCATACTGTCTTCTTTCAACAACGAGCTCCTCTGGATACCTAACTTTCAGAAACGGAAAAGGAAGCTCCACTAGATTATCTCTGCAATTCAGTCCATTGCTATCAAACTTGCAAGCTTCGTCGTGCTTCTTTGATATAATCGGAATCAAAGTCAGTGGCCAGACATTATCAATCTCACAGTCGGTGTTCAGGACCGCCGGTTCTATAATCAATTCCAGCACCGTTCAGCAAACCAAAGTCAGAGAAATTTTAATTTTCTTTGAACAAAACCAGAGAAATTTGTAAACAAAGTCAGAGAAATTTCAATTTTCTCTGAATTTCTCTAGTTTGAATTTATAGAAATTTCAATTTTCTCTGGTTTGAATCCAGAGTAATTCTCTGCACGTTATGAGTCAAATTTCTCTAGTTTGGAGAAAATTTCTCTGGTTTGGAGAGAATTTCTCTAGGAGGAATTTCTTTGAATCGATTTTTTTTTGGATCGATTTGAGAGACCATACAAATTATGAAAATATTAAATGTCCTTTATGTTATAAAATTTTAATACCAAGGACCCTTAAAAAAATCTCCCAAAAAGTATTGAGTCTTCTAATTTCAACTAAAAATATCAAATTAGAGTACCATATGATAATAGCCCTGTTTGGTAAGGCTTATTTTCAGTTTATTTCAACTTTTAGCTTAATTTAAGCTATTTTGGTGTGTTTGGTTCAGCTTAATAATACAGATTATAGCTTTTTATGAGCCAAATATCAGCTTTTTCTTTGAGTGAGATTGGATAACCTTTTCCGAAAAAGCTTAAGCGCGTAGCTGCCATTTGAGGAAAAAAGACTTAAATGCCCCTCACAAATTCAAGTTATTGCAAGTATGCCATGTATATAAACCAAAACACACTCATTTATGTCTCTAGCACAAATCAGAGAGGCAATTTCCGACGAATATAGGTGATTTCCAGTTTTGTCTATCTGTCTCTCTCTCTCTCTCTCTCTCACCAGTGCTCTCCCTCCCTCTCACACTCTTGAACTAGAGCTCTCTTTGCGATCGAGCTTCTGTGTCTGCGATCTCAATTAAGGGTTGAAACCCTAACCATCGTGATCTAAAACCCTAGAGTCATGATCGACTGCGCAATGATCGACGGTGACGATCAACCGTCCGTCGTCGTCCCCCATCTCCCATTGCCGCTGTGCCTTTGACGATGACGATCCCTCGAGTTTTCAGTGTTTTTTTAATAATAATAATAATAATTAAGCATTTTAAGCCATTAATGAAATAAATAAATTTTATATTAATTGATACTAATTAATAATTTTAGTGGTAACTGATACTAATTAAGCCATTAATTGATAATAAATTAAGCGGTAAAATGAAAAAATAGTGGGAAAAAATATTGTGTATATTGTATATTTTTCTAACGAATTAATAAATTAAAAAAATTAACAATTTTTATGTTATCAACAGAAGAGTGTAATTTACCCATTTTATTTTATTTTTTTATATTAATTTTGTTGGTTCATCTTTAAATAATTAATATGTAAGAAGAGAAGAACAAAAAATAAAATAAAATAAAATGAAATGAAGAAAAAGAATAGCAAAAAATAAAGATAAATTCAGTTTATAACTACCAAGGGTAAAAAAGATATTTACACAGCAAAAATCTAATTCACAGCTTATTTAATAAACGCTATTCAGCAACTTAAATCTATAATCCAATAATTATATCAAATAAATTAATAACTTCTAATTAAAATCA